GGGGGGGGCAAAAGAGCGAAACATAATCCTCCTCTTAAAAGCTTTGGGCAAGATCTTGTTTTCTTTTAACATAAGGTTACTGAGAAAATTAGCGTGCACGCTCAAGCACAGTTATGTTGCACAAATAAAATTAATTCTTTTCTTCTTCCTTTAGACCAAACATATTTTGCAAAACTAGATATAAAAGCTAAATAAATAGACCAAAGCCTGTGGAAATTAATTAAGAGGTGAGAAACGGAAGGGAGGATTCTTTCAGGGGTGAGAGTATATGAGAGGACTGGCCCTCTTCCTGAATTCTACTATGGGGGAAAAACCCACGAAAACTTTGGCGTCAAAAAGAGGGAAATTCAAAGACCTGGCAGTACAGAGAATCCCTCTGCCGCTCCGTCACGGCTACAGCAGTTTTCTTCCCTTGACATTCAGCTCCTTCGTTCCCAGGAATCTAGCATGCTCCTCATTTTTCCAATCCCCGGCCTCCACAGTGCTTACCTACCTCCTTACAAGCGGCTGACCTCTCGGTCCTCAGTGGAGCCAATCCCTCCAAGAATGTATTCAAATTATTGCGCGCCAGACGAGTCTGAAGCGGCTGAATTCCTATTCGCCGCTTTTCAGCGCTTCCAGGGACTGGCTCCTTGATTGGGCATTCATGAACCCTTGCCTAGCCTATCCGGGAGGCTGTCTTCAAAATTCTCCCGCCCTTGGGAGGCTAACGTCCTCTTCCGCGGAGAAATCACTCCTCCCACAATCCCTTGCGGAAGCGCAAGTCTTCAGTGGTCAGGTATTCGTATTGGCGCATCTTGGGAATTGTAGTTTTAGACAGACTGGCGGCGCCACTTCAGGTTCTATTTTGAGATCACTTGCTGTTAGAAGTTCTTGGTCTTCTACTTTAGATGTTCGACGCATTTATTTTCTATACTTACTTTCACTTTTTTCTTGTTAGCAATTCTTTTGACTTCTAATTGTTTTTTATTTTTCGAGTTAAATTTATAGTCAGGCATTTTCAGATGCTTCAAATGTTCCCTCCCATTCACCACAACAATGTATGAGGTGCAGTACATTATGATTTTTCAGAATGTAAACGGAGGACCTGCAGTGCAATTAATATTTACAGGGAATATGTGAATTGTTTTTGCTTTGTAAAACTGAGTTTCTAAAAGCAATCCTTGATTGTTAGCTATTGGAATTATCTGTGTGTCTCTGAAAACTGCTAAAGTCTTTGCCATATTTTTAGTTAAAAATACATGTAGTTAAGTGATAGGTTCAACTTCATGATCTAGAAAATGAATTAGATCTAGACTAAATACTATGGAAGCTTCCATATATTTCAAGGTCACTGACGTTTAAATCCATTCCAGAACCTGGGATTAATGAATGTTGATATCCTTCAGGGAAAACAACGAGTTAAAAATGAAAGATGCCAGGTTGCTTATGTTGTTGTTAGGTGCCGTCGAGTCACCTGCGACTCATAGCGACCTTATGTACAATAGCCCTAAACTCTATCCTGTGCCAGCCTTATTGTCTCTGACATGCCTACCCCCATTACCCCAGTCACTGAATCAATCCATCTCATGGAGGGTCTTCCTCTCCTGCACTGTCCCTCCACCCTCCCAAGCATGACGTCTCTTTCCCAAGGACTGGTCCCTCCTTGCAACATGTCCAAAGTATGTCAGACGAAGCTTCAGAAACTTTGCCTCCGAGGAGCAGCCTGGTCTCACCCTCTCTAGGATGAACCTATTTGTTCTCCTAGCAGTCCATGGTATATTCAATACTTTTCTCCAGCACCACAGCTCAAAGGCATCAATTCTCTTTCATCATCTTTAGTCATTGTCCAACTTTCTGATGCATAGCAAGCAACTGCAAAGACAATGGCCTGGATCAGGCGCTCCTTAATCTCCAGACTGACATAGTTGCTCTTCAGTACTTTGGATGCTTATGAGGCAGTAATATTAATTAAAATTTTTTAAATATGACTAATTTTGTTTCTGTGTGAATTTGAAGACTAATTAAAAGATCAATTTTGGTTTTAGTTAGAGGCACATTTATGTAGAAAGATTAGTGTCCAAAGAAACGACTTTTCTGGTAGTTGAGTAACAAAATTCAAGAGAAAGCACCTGGTCAAAATAGTAAGTTACCTAAGAGTATTTCAGTATGGATGGTAAAGAGATTGAGATAGTTAATAGTTTTAGTTTGCTTGGCTCCACAGTCCACACTCTTGATACCAGCAGCCAGGAAATTAAGAGAAGAATTGCACTGGGGAAAGTTAACTGTCAGGGACCTCTCCAGAGTACTGAAGAGCAACTACATCAGGCTGGAGACTAAGGTGCACCTGATCTGGGCTACAGTCTTCACAACTGCGTGCTATGCATCAGAGAGCTGGACTATGACTAGGGATGGTAGAAAGAGAATGGATGCCTCTGAGCTGTGGTGCTGGAGAAGAGTGTTGAGTATACCATGAACTGCTAGGAGAACAAACAGGTTTGTCCTGGAGAAGGTGAAGTCAAGGCTGCTCCTTGGAGGGAAGTATTCTGAAGCTTCATCTGACATACTTTGGGCATGTTGCAAGGAGGGACCAGTCCTTGAAAAGGGACATGTTTGGGAGGTTGAAGGGACAGCACAGGAGAGGAAGACCCTCGATGAGATGGATCGATTTAGTGATTGGGGTAGTGGGAGTAGGTATGTCAGAAATAATGAGGTTGGCACAGGATTGAGCAGGGTTTAGAGCTCTTATACATAGGGTCGCTATGAGTTGCAAGCAACTCGAAGGCACATAACAACAAGAACAAGAGGATTTAAATAATGTTACCTTCGAGGCTCATTGTTCTGGTGGCCTAGTAGCAAGAAGCTGCACTGCAATCCCGAAGGCAGTTGGTTCGAGGCCACCAGCGACTGCCGGGGAGACTATCTCCTCCTGGGCGATTCAGCGACTGCCGGGGAGACTATCTCCTCCTGGGCGATTAACTGCCTCTGACAATCCGCTGGAGGGTCAGCTATGGTTTGGTTTTGACACTATGGTACTTAATAAGAGGATCTAGGGAACTACGTTCTTTCTGAAGAAAACTGGCAAATTCTGATTTCCCAAAAATAAAAATTGACTTTCAGAAATTTTACTTCAAACTGCATTTTAGGTGCTTGTTTTTTGATAAATGCTGTCCCTGTAAATTAACAAATTAGACGCCATAACAAAACAAAAAAAAATTAATGATCAGAAAACGAACGTTGTAACAAATTCCTATATTTAACTTAGCTTTCATATTTAACTTAGATAGCTCTTTCATTTTTGTTGTTCGGTGCCTTCCAGTCGTTTTTTGACTCATCGCGAATCCTACATACAAAGCAAAGAAACAAGGCCAGTTTGGCACCAGCTTTATGATCTTTTAACCCATTTTTACAGCCAACGGGTATAGAATCTTACATTTTTTTCCTTTATGATTTTAAAAAAATAACTTTCCCTATTACCAAATGCCCTAGATCCACCTCTCTCTTTACTCCTCAAGATATTTAACGACCCAACAACCAACCGCTTTAACTTTGCCAGGAATAAAGATGGTGCCTACGGACCAGTGTTATGACGCACCCTGACTTCCGCAGGAAGTGGCTGAAGTAATTCCGGGGAAAAGGTGGCTGCCGACTTGCATCCTTAGCTGCACAAGTTGAGCGCTGCTTCTTTGCTCCGGAGTGGCTGCCCCTGCGCCTCGACCATGGTGTTCTACTTCACCAGCAGTAGCGGTGAGTGGGCACCCTGATCTTCCGGGCTCTTGTCCCACAAGTGGGCTCCGAAGCCGATACCTCATCCGGCCTTACTACCCTGATCTGGTCCTGAAGAGTAGGGTTCTCTCTTTTTCGGTGTTGGGTGTCCCCCGCTGGATCAACATTAATGGCCTTTTCTCCTACCCAGGCACATCGTGATCAGAAGTCTTGGGGTGCGGGGATTTGATTCTCCTTTGCTGTCTTTCCATCAGAGGGGTTTTCCCCATTTTTCAGAAGGGCCTCCTGTTGTTCTATGGAACGCGGCAGCTTTGTGGCTCTTGTATGTTCTGCTGATTTTTTGCGGGCTTTATTTTGGTTGTGCCAGTTACAGATCTTCCAAACTCTTGTAAGAAGGTTTTAGGGCTTGAGATTCAACAGGAATGAAAAGACCCTGTTACTCTTATGTGCTGTTGAGGTTGGAACCGATTCTGTTGATCCTCCAGAGACATGAAAATTGCCCAATCTTGCTCCCTTGGCGCGAGCCTGAAGGACTCGAAACACGTGCCTTTGGGTTGGTCGGGCACTGGACCTCTTAAAAAAGAAAGAAAGAAAAAGGTCCTGGAATGTCCATATGTTCTTATATGCCGTTGAGTAGGAACCATTCATAACTGACACTCCAGCGGGTTTTCAGAGGTTATAAATAGCAACGGAGGAGATTGCTCATTTTCTCAGAGCCACTGATGGAGTCCAGCAATGTGCTTTCTGGTTGGCAGCGCACATTCTTGCCACTGGGTCACCAAAGCTCCCTGGAATGGCTGTCTAGCCACTTATTTTACAGGCTTTATGTTCCAGATCTTGAAAGTTGACATATTTTTTTGTCTTGAGCAGATGATCTCATTTTAGTTCCTGAGTAGTTCTCACCTTTGTTTCATTCCTTGCTCATGCGCTTTCTTTCGACTCAACTAACTCCTAGTTAACTCTTAACTCCGTTAATATAGCCCTGCCTTATTTTCCCCCAAGGTAACTGTATCTTAACAAATTCCCTCCTGAATATTTAGACATACTTCTTCTCTATCTCCTTAATGTCCCATGAATACATTTAGCATTACATCTAACACATGATATTAAGTATGTATGTTGGCTTTAAGTTACTTTGAGGGCAGGGATGCAGAATAATAAACTTACCCTCCGTTGGGTTTCTTGGGCTATAAAGCTTAGCAGTCTTAAAGGAGACTGCCCATTTTTCTCCTCTGGCTTTGCGGTTTTCTTTAGTGTGAATGGATCTGGTGCACCAGAGCTCAGAAGGGTAGGAGTAAGATTCATTATCTTGTTTCCTTTTCCTTAGTGCCTAATTGATACTCAGTAGACATTTGCTGGATAAATAAACAATAAATTCTTGTTTAACTAATGGCACTGTCTGTTCAATTTGGTTTTTTCAAGGTGAGATTTAAATGAAACTAGTTCCATGTTTGTGTGGGTTTGAGAAGTGAGGTAGTTTCTCTTTAGAGATGAGAAAATTATGGCCTTGGAAAGCTGTGACTTAAACTTTTCCTTCTACCTTTTCATAGCTTACTTACTATTTTTTCAGTGGATAAACTTAAGACTTACATAAATGATTTTCATGCCTCTGTAAATTTGGCTTTTCTTACCCATATTATTCTGTTTACCAGAAAGAAAATGTATATTAGCCTGAAAAATTGCATACTTTTACCACGTGTGATTTCATCCCTTTTTTGGCCTTGTTTTCCAATAACTAAAGTATCTTTGTTGCTTCTCTGCTCATGGAAGTCTTCCATAACATATTGATAGTTCAATGCCCATACAAGCCCAAGAGTGGAACACAATAGGAAGGACACATAGGTACTAAATGCATTTTATGTTTTTGTTGTTATTCTGTACTGTTGAGTCAGAATCTACCCATAACTGACCCTCCAGGGGGTTTTCAGAGGCCGTAAATCACATAGGAGGAGATTGCCCATCTTTTTACCACAGAGCAGCTGATCGATTCAAACCACTTGCCTTTGGGTTGGCAGCAAAACTCCTTCTCAAGCTAGTTTTATCTCCTTAAAGCTATCCTGAATCCTTATGTGCTAATCATTAACACACATACAGAAAGAGAAACCAAACCAGATGCAGTAGAGCTGAGTCTCTTTCATGGTGTTTTCAGAGTAGCATTGTGTTCTGTAGGGTTTTCAGTAACTGTAACTTTGGGAAGTGGATCATCAGGCCTTTCTTTGGAGACACTTGTGTCTCATCACCAATTTTTCTGATAGTAACTTAGCACTCAACCATTTGTGCCACCTGGAGACTCTCATACACACAGATTTCCTTAATAGAAGAGATGTCCTTCAGCAGAGTTGTGGATCCTGTTGTTCTCTTTTTGATACTAGAAAATCACCAAATGTACATTTTTCCTATTCACAAAAGGAAGCTAGGACTGGTAATTTAAGGAGCTTATTGCTGAAAGTACAGGCATACCTATATTAAAATGGTGAGATTTGTATGTCATAGATTCCTGTTCTCTGCCCTTAAGAATGCCTGTCCTCTGTGCTAGTTCAGTGCTCTGAAGATACAGGTGACTGACTGCACAGCCCAGCCCTGCTCTTGCTTTGTAGATCGAGGGCCCAAACCAAACCCTTTGCTGTCAGTTCCTGACTCTGCAACCCTCCACCAGGTTTCCAAGACTAAATTGTACAGGAAGAGACTATTCATCTTTTGTTTACAGGGTGGCTAGTGGACTCAAACTGCCAACTCTTCAGTTAGCAGTGTAATGAATGAGCCCTTGTGTCATAATAATAAACCTGTTGGGTTGCTAATTGGAAGATAGGTGGTTCAAACCCATAAGCCACCCTGCGGGAGAAAGATAAGGCAGCTTTTGCTCATAAAAATGAATTGACGCAGTAACTGTTAATTCAGTAGTTTAGATCGAATTGAGATCAAACAAATTTAGATGATTAGAAAAACCCAAGGGCCAGCTATAATTTTACCAGGAAACTGTAGACTTTTTGCTGGTGTACGGGTTGAAGATACCCATATTAAAACACACTACCTCAGTATAGCAAATGCCATTGCTAAGATTAACTCTGTGTAGACCTAGTATAGTTTAGTATAATGTTTCCTGGTTCTCACTTTGAATTAGAGTCACTTGGGGACCTTTTAAAAAACACTGCCCATCTTGTCCTCAGTCCTTCAGGGATTTGGATTTAATGGCTCTAAATGAACTGAGGCACAACAAGGTCCTTGGGAAAAGGCATGCTTAGGAAAATAGAGTCAGAAAAGAGAGGAAGACCCTCAATAAGTTGGACTGACACAGTGACTGTAACAATGGCCTTAAGCATAGTAGAAATTGTGAGGATGGGACAGGTTTAAAGTATTGTTATGTCATACATAGGGGTCACTGTGAGTCAGAGTCCCAGGTGGGTGTGGCACAGTGGTTACAGTGCTTAATTTGTTTGTTGTTGTTATGTGCCATTGAGTCTACTGCCTGAAAAGTCAGCACTTTGAATTCACCAAGTACCCTGAGAGGGTGTGGTCATCTGCTCCCGTAGCTTAGGAGACACTATGGATAATCTTGCTGTGTCCTGTAGTGTTGCTCTGAGTTAGAATTCACCTGACAGCACAAGTGAATAATGATGTAAAATGAAAGTTCAAACTCTTAGAAAAATGTCAAAGTCATAGTCCTCTGAATGTAATAGTCCATTTTAATTTGCGGCAGACATGGGATATAGTGAGTATGGGTAAATAACATAAACTAAAATAAAAGTTGAATAGGTATATTGTGAAATACCATCAAGTAGGTTCCAACTCAGGGGTGCTGTGTACAACAAAATGAAAATGCCTGATACTGTACGCTCCTCAGAATGTCCACTTTGCTCAAACCCCTCATTAGAATCACTGTGTCAGCCCGTCTTGATGAGTCATCTTCATTCACCTTCGACTACTCTAAGCATAATAACCTTTTCAAGGATTGACCCCTCTTAATATCCCAAAGTGTGTGAAACAAAGTCATATCATTCTTGCCTCTACCTATTTTAAATGATTGAGGTTTGTGGGTGTTTTGCTTCTCTCTGAATTCTTTTGAGTAATACAAAAGTATATGACTGAACTGTAACTATTCCTGAGAAAGTAAGAAAATAGCTGTTTAAAAAGGTCAGGAATCTGCTTCTGTAAAGGATCACATGTTGTTGTTAGACATTGTTGAGCTGACTCTTAACACCCTATGAACAACACTTCTGAACCCTGCCCTATCCTGTGCCATCCTCATCTCTCTGCTGTATTTGAGCTTATTGTCACAGTCACTATGTCAGTCTATCTCATTGAGGGTCTTTCCTTTACTGACCCTCCACCACTTCAAGCATGATGTCTTTTGCTAAGGAATGGCTCTTTCTAACATGCCCAAAGTAGGTGAGATGAAGTTTCACCATCCCTGTCTTAAGGAGCGCACTGGTTGCACTTTCTCCCAAGACAGGTTTGTTCTTCGACAGTACCCTTCTCCAGCACCACAACTCAAGTCAGGGTGGAGGATTTATGTTTGGGATGTAATCCATATTGAAGCAAGGTTATGACTGTCATCTGTGTAACTAACATATTTTAGGTTCTGTGAGCCTCACTCTCTCCAGCGTATGTATATATTTTGTTCCTCCTCAAAAAAAAAAAAAAAAAAAGGTAAGAACAGTTCACTGGCAATATACATAACAGGTTGGATTTGGCCAATGGACTGTCATTTGCTAACTACTAATCTTGGTTGTTTTTTTGTATTTTAATGAAATAGTTTTTTTTGGTGATGAATTTATATCTAATTGGTGGTTTGTGTTTTTGTTTTGTTTTAGATAATTCATCTGCTTACACCATTTACATGGGAAAAGATAAATATGAAAGTAAGTATTTAAAAAATACTCAATTTTTAAATTCCATCGAGTAAGTGTCGGTGTATTTTCCACACATGGTAAGATGGATGTGAAGGTTTAGTTAACTACATAGATGCGTCATTCTTTGAGAGAGAACCAGGCAGCAATCTATAGGAACTCTACAAACCCAAACTCATTTCTTTAGAGTTGATTCTGATTTACAGTGACCCTGTAGGGTAGAGGAGAACTGCCATGTAGGGTTTCTGAGCTTGTGAATATCTAGGGAAGCTGACTGTGTTTTCATTCAGCCTAAGTGGACCATCTGATGAGTTTAAACTACCAGCCTTTCACTTAGCCAACACTTACTCCACTGTGCTTCCAGGAACTCACTAGGCTCTAGTTCGATCAGATAATATTTAATTGAAGCATCTGTTGCTGACTAAAAACTTTACAAAGAGGTTTTTGTGGTGTCAGTTACGTTAAGGTGCTCAAATATTTTTAACCTGTACTAATGTAGGCCAAACCAACAGCCTCTGTGGTTTGGTCTTTGAAGAGATTTCTTTTTATATATTTTTACCCCTTTTAAGGTTAGTGGAAACATTTTCTACTTTTTTATTTTGTCCTATTTTTTTTATGAGGAGACTGTTGTAAGGAGCTCTGATAGCCTAGTCCATGGAGTGCTGTGCAGCAGCCCCAAAGCCAGGCCTCTCTGGTGGGTGAGCTTCACCAGTAGCTCTGGGGAGGAAAGATGGCAGTCTTCTGTGCAGTTTACAGCCTCGGAAAACCAAGGGAGCCCCAGCCGTAAGTTGGTTCCTACTCGAACACAGAGAGACTATGTCCTCTGCTTTTTATTCTGTCTTATTTTAAAAAGAAAAGCTAGCTTCTGGTGCTCTCTGGTGGCCTAGTGGCAGGAAGCTGCACTGCAATTCCAGAGATGTGAGGTTCGAATCCACCAGATGCTCTGCTGAAGAAGGAGGGACAACCTCCTCCTGTACCAGTCAGATCTGATTTGACGGTACATACATTAAAAAAAAAAAAAAGAAAGAAAGAAAGAAAAGCAAAGCTAGCTTCAACCTGCATAATTTTTTTGACCGGCTGTTGAAGTTGGGAACTCAACTGACATAGTCTATTGATAATTTCATGGTTAACCTAAAGGCTCTAATAGTTGAAATCCACCTGTGTAGTTCCATGAGAGAAAGATGGGCGGAGAGTAAATGTATTGAGGGAGAGCTGAGAACGTTTTATGGAGTGGGTTGAGTTGGGACTCGATTATGGACTCCTTTAGGTGTCTGTGGTAGGTGTTTATTTCTGGGGACATAAATCTACACTCAGGATTTATGGCCACACCCTTCTCCCACCAACCTTTAGTCATTTGGAGCTGTCAGTTTCTTCTAATTTACCTTGTAAATTGAAGAAGGACATTACATTAAAAAAAAAAATTAAAATAGTCGTATTTTTGTTGAGAATATACCCCAGTTGAGCAATTTCTACATAATTGTGTGACATTGGTTACGTGCTCTGAGTTGTGTAACCATTGTCACTCTCCTTTTCTGAGTTAAGATAGCACAGTGGGAGCTGTGCTCTTAACCCAAAGGCACTTCTCTGGTGGTTCAAACCCGCCAGCAGCTCCGAGGGGAGAAATGAGCAATCTCATCCTGTGTGATTTACAAATTTGGAAACCTACTGGAGAGTCAGCTCTAAGTTGGCCTCAACCTGTCAGCAGTGAGTTTTCTAAGTTATTTTACCACCAGAAATTACGTGTTTAAAGCGGTTGTGCTCTCTAGCAGTCTTAACATATCACACCATTTATCTTGACATTTTGGGATTAAAATCAATGAATTTAAATATGATTCACTCACAGAAAAGCTTTCAGTTCTGTTCTATGTAGTAGCCAGCAGGTGTCATCAGGGAGCTAAATGTCTGAATGATGAAAAAAGCCAGAATTAAGTTTTTGGTGTTTGTTGGTTTTTGTTTTTTTTTCCTAGCGTGCAGTTTTTCTGATTTTCTACAATTTAAAAATTGATAGTTTGTGTGGTTTTTAAGTGTGAAATGCAGTTCATGCTTTTAAAACGTTTAGCAAAACCATTTTAACAGATACTAGAGTGAATCAGTTTTCTAACATTTGATTTCTCAGCTCCTCTGACTTGTGTTTTATCTTCATATATAAACCATTTTTTAGTTTTAGACTGGAAGTGTTATAAAAATTGTCAAGTTTGTATTACCCAATTGTTCAGATTCTTTTTATTTTTTCTGAATTTTAAAGCACTAAAGCCTCTCTGAAATAATCTTTCACTCTGCTAAGCAGAGAAGAAAAACAATTATGCCAGTAATTGGTACTTTCCCCCTTCCTAACTTCCTGTAAACCCTGGTGTATTTTCATTGAATGGTTTTTCCCCCTTACCTTTTTGTTGCTTTTTTTTGTATCTCACCATAGATGAAGATTTAATAAAGTATGGCTGGCCTGAAGATATTTGGTAAGTGACTGTTTTAGTTCTGCTTTCTCTTGATGCTCATTTGCTTTCTGAAACTGGAGACTTACTTAACTCCTTGAATCATATAATCAAAACTAGAACTTCATTTTTGTATTTTTGTTTATGATTGTTGAGCCGTGAATAGCTAATTACCCTTCCATTCATTTATAATTACTGTGTAAATCAGAAATGATGTCTCAGCAAAGACCAAAGATTTTCTTTTACCTCGTCTTTAGTCTCCTTGTGACATGTTACTGAGACTGCCTCACTTAGTTTTAGAGCCGCTTCTTGTGTGAATGGCTGAGGGCTTCGTCAGAAGCAGTGTAGACACAGACATCGTTGTGAATGGATTAGATGCTACATTTGACCAGGTCCACATTTAAAGAGAAGATTGATTTCCTTTTGTTATCTTCTGACTCCCTAATCACTTTAGCTGCGTTTTAATCTAGCCTGACTTCACTTTTAAAAATAATTCCTAGAAATGAAGAAATTTTTCATCTCCTTTTGAGATTCTTTGTTGTACTATAAAACTTAGCCCAAAATACCACGGTAACAAAACAAAGCCCTATCCCCATCTTAGAACATCACTGGGGTTTTTCTACTTCTTGGTTCCAGGGTCTTTGAAGTGTGCATGGGCTCCTGGTACTTTCTTTTCCTTTCTTATAATAGTCTCAGACCCAGTATGCTTTCTTTTTCTTTTTTTCAGCATCTACCACCCACTCTACCTTTTGGGATGTTTCTCTCCTGAAGTATTAATTTTGCCCCTAAAGCCAAGAATAATTTCCCCAACTGGCAACACTCCACAAAATGGCATCCCTGAAACGCAACATAAATATTCTGTTTACTTTGATATGATAGTGTCTTAACTTGTTGCTATTATGTGCTGTCGAGTCACCTGTGACTCATATCGACCCTATGCACAATAGCCCTAAACTCTGTGCCGATTTAATTGTCTCTGACACACCTACTCCCATTATCCCAGTCACTGAATCAGTCCATCTCATCGAGGGTCTTCCTCTCTCGTGCTATCTCCCCACCCTCTCAAGCATGATGTCTCCTCCAAGGACTAGCCCCTCCTTGCAGCATGTCCAAAGTATGTCAGACAAAACTTCAGAATCCTTAGCTCCAAGGAGCAGCCTGGTTTCACCCTCTCTAAGACAAACTGGTTCCTTAGCAGTCCATGGTATATTCAAGACTCTTCTCCAGCACCACAGCTCAAAGACATCATTTGTTCTTCTTTCATCCCTAGTCATTGCCCAGCTCTCTGATGCATAGCAAGTGATGGCAAAAACCATGGCCTGTATCAGGTACACCTTAGTCTTTAGATTGACATCATTGCTCTTCAGTACTTTGGAGAAGTCTCTGATATCAGACTTTCCCAGTGCAGTACATCTTTTAATTTCCTGGCTCTTAGTACCAAGAGTGTTGATTGTGGAGCCAAGCAAACTGAAGTGGTTTACAATCTCAGTCTCTTTGATATCCATCACTAATAGATATCAAATACTCTTATGTGTTTACCTGTATTAATACATTAATCTTCACAACTAAGTGCTGATTCTCTCATTTTTCTGATGAGGAAACTAAGGCTAAGGAAAACTGAAGAACTCTTGTTGGGTTGTATCTGGTATCCTCACCAGCTCTGGTCCCGAGCCACAGCTTCCATCTGCCCAGGCTGCAGCTCCAGTGGCGGCAGGTCAGCTCTTGATTCCCTCAGGCCACTTGTGCTCCTCTTTGTGGACCTCCTCTCCAAATGTGGGTCCAAACCTTTTAACTGTCTAGAGTCATTGTTTAGGCTGCCACTTTCCAGAGTAGTATCAAGTATATACTTTTGAGGGAGCTCTTGTGTCCTAGTGGTAAGAAATTGTATAGGCCTTCACCATCCTGAAGGTGTGCACTTTGAATCTACCAGCTGCTCTGTGGGGAAAAGATAGACATTCTGCTCCTGTGCAGTTTACTGCCTCAGAAACGCCACTAAAGGGTCAGCTATGATTCAGTTCCAACTTGATGGTATATAACAATAACAACAACATAGTATTGAACATGTAATGAAACATAACAGAGAAAATAAGTGACTCTCAAGCCATGTGCAGAGACTCTTAAATGTTGCTGCTTCTTGTAACAGCCTCTTCCATTCTAAAGAGGCTGGATCATTTGCCCTATTGGAAATACTCTTCTTTCCTTCTGCCATTGAAACAAGATGCTCCAGAACCTGAGGAATTTCAGACTTTCTTAAAAATAAAAATCTGTGAAACTTCCGGTCAACTTGATTCCTTTGCTGCATGTGTTGTTGGCTTTCTTGGTTAAAACATGCCTAAAAGCTTATGAAGTAAGTGCAAAAGGAAGATGCATGCTGAAAAGAGGGGGGAAGCGCAGAAGGAGCTCAGCTGGCTTAAAAGTATTCTCAAGTAGATGGTGATGTTCTAATGAAAGATGTTCAAGAGATTGCAACTATTGTGGTACCCAGATATTACCAAGAGAAAATGCAGTGTGATACGAATGATGAAAAAGTGAGAAAGATGACATGAAAATGGAAGCTGACATTAAGAGAAACAAAAGAGCCTTCTAGAGCAGCATGGAGCAGTTTGGATGAACCGGAGTCAAAGAAAAAGGCTGAAAGCAAAGAGAGAAAAAGGAAAGGGAAAAAAAAACACATCTAAAGCAGCAAAGGCAGTGGAAGGTTTAGCCTGGTAGACCCTGAAGGACTTTTAAAAAGCACCACATGAGCAGGCACTTGGTTAAAGTGTGTACATGGATTTCAGGTTCTGCTAGATAAGAACTATTTATTTCTGAATCCTAACTGACCTTTGTCTTTGATTTCAAACCCAGCATAGTTCAAGTTTGGTTTGGGAACTTGAATAAAATATTTTCTTTGGTAAATAAAAGCTGTGGTGATACTTTAATTGGTTTTCTCTCTAGTATCCAGGTGTTACTACACATCAAATTTATATCAGCTATTAACCTAACTGTAATTGATAGTTGTTACAATGTGTTGTAATTTGCAAATGTAAAACAAGTGATGTTATGAAAAAATTAACTCAGATTTACATAAAGCAAACAATTTAAAAATAGTATCTTTGTATCTAAGTAGTGCTTATTTGGAATTTGGATTTTGTTATAAAAGCTTTTTATGCATTTAAAAAAAAAATAATCTGTTGTGCTGTAATTCCAGCACAGGGGCCCATCATTTGAACTCAAATATGCCATCAAGAGAGACACTGGTGCTCTGTGTGTCAGATGAGCAGTTTGTAGGACTGACCGCTTCTGTAGTGGGAAGTTGTGCCTTCTGAGCCTCCTATGCTTCCTGAGGACATTGATCCACTTGATTGGTTTACATGTGAAAACTGGAATGTTTGGAAGCCAAAAACCCACCAAAGGAGGAAAATAAAAGTATTTTCCACTAAATAGAGATAGCACAGAGGTAACTATGTCATCAAAGTTGGGAAACTTAGACTTGAAAAAACAGGACAGTCCCATCAGGTTCTGCCTTTGGTTCATTTCACTGTATGTTCTCAGTTTATGGACTAGGTGGGAATATGGTTAAATATTCAACTGCTGACTAGAAGAGTGGCAGGCAAGGGAGCTCTGGTGGCCTAGTGGCAAGAAGCTGCACTGTAATCCTAGAGGTGCACGGTTTGAATCCACCAGATGCTCTGCTGGAGAAGGAAGGACAGTCTCCTCCTGTACCAGTCAGATTCAGTTTGATGGTACACACACACACACACACACACACACATTTAAGAAGAGTGGCAGTCAGAGGTACAGTGGGAGAAACACCTGGTGCTAGCTTCTGAAAGTCAAGTCTTGAAAACTCTTAGGGAACAGTTCTTCTGTGTAACACATGGAGTCTCCATGAGTGAAGACTGACTGAACAGCAAACAGTTTGAGCCAGGATTTTATGTTCTCAATACCTAGCATGGTAGGTATTGGCATATATTGACTTGGCATGTAGTAGTTCACTTGCTAAATGGCTAGACCACTGCCTGTGTGGAAATGACCTTAAGGGATATTTTCTCATAGTAATTGTTTTCTGGCTATCTCCATTTCACGTACTTCTTCTATCATCCCTCCCTCACCCCCATCTGAAGTATTTTAACTTGTCCTGAAAACTCAGTGTCTTGGACTTGTAGAATGATGTTGATTAAATTTGTGCCTACAGATTCCTAGATGTGCATTTTTTTTTATACTCTTTAAAATACTCAGGAAGCTGTGATGGCACAGTGGTTAAGAGCTTGGCTGTTAGGTAAGAGGTCAGGAGTTTGGATCCACTAATCTCTCTCTGAGAGAAGGATGTGACATTCTTTTTTTAAAAAAAAAGTTTAATTTTGTGTGTGTGTGTGTGTGTGTGTGTGTGTGTGTACCCCATCAAAATGGATCTGACTGGTACAGGAAGAGATTGCACCTCCTTCTCCAGGAGAGCATCTGGTGGATTTGAACCGCGTACCTCTGGAATTGCAGTGCAGCTTCCTGCCATTAGGCCACCAGAGCTTCCAGCATTCTGCTTCTTAAAGATTATGAGCCTTGGAAACCCTAAAGGGCATTTCAGTTTTGCCTTACAAGGTCTTTATGAGTCAGAATTGACAATGTGTTTGGCTTTTTTATATAAAAGTCTTGAGATTACTTAAAGTTGTCAAAAGTGATTAGATTTTACTTTTAGTAAAATTCTAGCTCTCTTAAAATCCAGAAGAGCCATGGCAGTTAGGAACAGCCCTAACGCATGAAGACCAGTTCTCGTTTGTCTACTGGCTATTCTGGAAACATATCTGGGAATGCTAAGGATGTTTCAGGAATTTATCTACCTTCTAGGGGAGACTTTGGAATTTTATCTCTGAAATTTTAGAGGTAAATTAGATAAATTTTCCCAGAATTTTCCCTAGAAAACCTCCGGTGCCTGTTTTAAGCCAGGTGTATTCCTAGAATTAAGAGGTTGGAATGAAATGCACCTTTAAATGAAGGAATTTATTAGTAGTGTGCTCAGCTCCCCAAGGAGACCAGAACGTATGGTT